TATTTAAGCCATCTCCTGCCATAAGCAAAGGGATGGAAGATGAGTATACTGGTCATCATTTGGTACAAGTAAGGAAGGTGAGCCTAAGGTCCCATAGACTTGTGGTCCATGTGCAGAGTCATGGTCCAAAGCAGTGCTGTGGTCCCCACTGGGTGGTGGTCCAGGTTCTCTCTATTCATCTGCATAGTCGGTTGGAAGTGGATTCACGTGAGAGTTATGGAATAGAGTATGATTACCATCTCCTCCGGGAAAGGGCTTGGACCTGATGCGGAGATGGGGGTAGGCGACGAACTCGGGTCTCTCCTGCTCTCCGTGACGCGACTTCAGGAAGACATTCAGCACCCACGCCAGGGAGCGCTACGAAGTAGGTGAGAGCCTTCCACAATGTGAGCTGAGCCCTCCTCGTAGTGGGCGCCACTCGACATGGACCGCCCCAGCTGTGCCCCGGACCGACCTAGCAGCCCAGACAGCCGGGACACAGACGCCGCCGCCATTTTCGACCTGGACCTCAGTTTCTTTTTTAAAAGCAGCTTTATTGGGGCACCTGGGTGGCTCTGTTGGTTAAGTGTCTGCCTTGGGCTCCGATCATAATCCCAGTCCTGGGATCGAGACCACCCCCTCCTATCAGGCTCCCTGCTCAGCGGGGAGCCTGCTTCTCCCTCTCCCTCTGCCGCCCGCCCCCGTCTCTCAAATAAATAACATCTTAAGAATAAAAGCAGCTTTATTGAGATAATTTCCATACAATAACATCTATCTATTTAAAGTAAATAATTCAAAAAAAAAGTAAATAATTCAATGGCTTTCAGTATTTTCACAGGTAAGTGTAATCATCCCCACAGTAAATTTTAGAATATTTTCATCAACTCAAAAGGAAACCTTGTACCTTTTAGTAACTCTGCCCCCAACACTCCCTAGCCCCAAGCAACCACTAATCTACTTTCTGTTCTATAGATAGAAGTATTTTGGACCTTTATATGAAGGGAATCGTATATGGAATATGTGGACTTTGTATCTGACTTCTTTCCCTTAGCATGTTTTCAAGGTTCATCCAAGTTGTAGCGTGTATCAGTACTTTGCTTCTTTTTATAACCAAGTAATATTCCATTGCACAGATACACTGCCTTTTTCAAGTATCTTCAAAATGCCAACCAACTCAACTCAAACTGAATGTATCAGTTTAGGTGAGCAAGAAAATAAAAGCAAGTCAAGGGAGACAGGTCTGGGAAGAGCACCCAGAGAAGGGTAATTCTTGAAAACAGCCTGTGATGAGACTATTGCTCCCTAGAGGGGCCTGCAAAATGGATTAAAAAAAATTATTTATTTATTTATTTATTTATTTATTTATTTATTTATTTGAGAGAGCAGAAGTGGGTGCGGGGCAGAGGGAGAGGGAGAAGCAGACTCCCTGCTGAGCAAGGAGCCTGATGCAGACACGGGGCTCGCAGACACAGGGCTCGAAACCAGGAATCCCAGGACCCTGGGATCATGACCTGAGCCGGAGGCAGATGCTTAACAGAATGAGCCACCCAGGTTCCCCCCCTGCCAAATTGGATTTTCTTGGATCTCAGGATAGGTGTCAAACATACACTTCAAGGCAGGCTTTCTGCCCTGGCCTTATCATGGTCATCTTTATCAATACCAGTAATGTTTATTAATCATGTACTTTGGGGCACCCAGGTGGCTCAGTTGGTTTAGCGACTGCCTTCGGCTCAGGTCATGATCCTGGAGTCCCGGGATCGAGTCCCGCATCGGGCTCCCCGCTCGGCAGGGAGTCTGCTTCTCCCTCTGACCCTCCCCGCTCTCATGTGCTCTCTCTCTCTCTCTCTCATTCTGTCTTTCAAATAAATAAATAAAATCTTTAAAAAAAAATCATGTACTTTGTATTGTCCTAAAAACCATAAAGTAAATTAGTAAAAAGACAAAGGGCTTCCAATCTAAATGGGAGACAGGATACATGCATAAAAGAAAAGGTGAATCAGTTGTGCCCTCTACACCTGCTTTTAGTCTTTTCCTATGTTGTCACCATTTGGAACATTTTTGAAAAAGGAATAATGTGTGAAAAGTAGCATATGCTAAGTGCCAGTGATAAAATGTGCTACAGGGATTCAAAGAGAACCAGCAGGGGATGGGGAGTGGGAAGGGGTGGTGAGACTCGAGTTAGGCCTCACAGGAAAAATAGGTAAAGGGGATACAGCGGAAGACACTCCATGCAGGCAAATTGAGGAATGTTTGATCACTGAACAGAACAAAATGGCAAGATTAAAGAAATCTTGAATGGGAGCCGTGGGAGATAGGGTGGGACTGGGCTAGATTGTTCAAGGATCTGATCCCAGGCTGAGGGGTGAAAACTTTTAGGCAAAATGGCCAGCCATTGAAGCTTTTTAAGTAGGGACTGATGGGTGAAAATCATGCTACTGTTTTGATGGATAGAAGCCAAACTGGAAGCAGAAAGGGCTGTTTTGATGGTAGAAACACTTTCACCCCAAGCTAGCTGAATACAATACCATCTTGGTGGCATTATTTAATTTTTAATCAGGTTGGTCTTTTGTAGTGCTTAAAAGAATACACTGTTATAAAATAAAATGTAAAGGCAAAAGTACAAGCAATTTAGAAATGAAAATATAAACTTAAGTCAAATTAGTGGTTTTCACTTTTTTTAGATTAAAACTTTGAGCACATAGTTAAATACTTAAGCACCATAAGATGCATACAGTGAAGTTTCCCTCGCATCCT